TAACATTTCATTACTATGTTAATTCGTTTAAAATTGTTTTAACTGCACAGTATAAGAAATGTGATAGAGCTTATTACCTTTATCTAGGTAAACAATTACAAAAAGTAGCATTAACTTTGGACGAGAACCGTAGGAATTTTGCTATAAAGTCAGTTTTCTACAATACCAATGAAATTGGAGTTACAAACGGCCAAGAATGGTGTAGCACAGAGTTAGATGCGATGAATACAAAAAGAAATGGAAGCAGCAAAATACAATATTATGTGAAAATATGTTTTGTTGCCAATCAGTACGGTACTTATCGTCAGAATATTATTTTTTATTTTGGAGAATATCCTGTGATACTGGAGAGGATGTGCGTGGACTGTTTGCCAATCGAAGACTTTTCAAGAATTCACAAAGCCACCAACTATCAGTTTTCGCAGAATCCAAAAACATGGATCAATGAAACAACATTAATTTGTCGATTTAAATCACCGTTTGTGCCACCAAAAGATCCAAGGGAAGACAAATTGGCTATGATATATCCGTATCCTGATAAAAATAATTTCTTTTTAACTCAACAATCCCTTACGGATGATCGCTTAACACCAGAAAATTATAGAGGTCGTCTTCACGAACTGATTACCGTAGAAGAATTAGCTAGACACGAACAAATTGCCAGATACAATGAAATCACGTGTATGCGCCTACTTTGCAATTATATTTTGGCTTCCACAGGTGATGCGTCTACTACCGTTAAATATGCACCACCTGGTGAGCTCTTTGCTCAGGTGCGAATTTTTTTTTAGCTATTATACGCTTCTTTTTCTTTCTCTCTTACTTTTCTATTTTCACAGATAGCATAGATACGTTTTAGTTTTACTTTATTATTAGTATATAGCATGTTTGTCCGAAAACTGAAAACTATAAAACGCAAAATGTATGATAAATTTTTATCACAGTTACCACTAAGCCGTAGTATCACAGAAGATACAAAAAGCGGAAGACTGTTCCTGAGAGGTTGCAATAGAGTACTTTTCAAGAATCATAACTCGAACATAATATTCGAGGCGCACATAGAAGACAAATGTACGCAAACCGTATACGTGAGATTGTCGAAAATGTGCGTAGACACGTTACATTTGGTGGCAAATACAGATCTGGAAGTGCAATTGCAATTTGTACTGAATCGTTTGCCTTCTTGCGAATGGCATAAAGCTGTAGATAGCTTGCCGGACGTAGGTCTAGTTTTTCTAAACAAAGCTCATCGAGATATGAAAGAGATCGGTACCGTCAATCTATCGGACACGAATACCAAGCATAGCCTGTTTAATACCGAACAGAAAAGAGCTCTGGCAATTATCACAGCCCCTATAGAGATCTCTTTACCACCAATTTTGTTACTCGGACCATTTGGAACAGGAAAAACGTTTACCATTGCTCAGGCTCTACGACTGTTGCTTACCAGCAGTTCCGAATACAAAATTTTACTTTGTACCCATAGCAATAGCGCAGCCGATCTCTACGTGAAAGATTTTTTCGACTGCTGGTATAAAATGGAAAAATATCCACGATTGAAACCCGTCAGAATTTATTACAAGGGTCGAGCTAGAAACACGGTACGTTTCCTAGGGAGATGAAACTTATCGTCTTCCTTGATGTATTCCTTTTTCGTTTCATTGCGATATTTCAGGTACATCCAGTGGTTCAAGAGTACACACTGATGAAAGATAACGGCACTTTCCGCGATCCTACCGAGGAAGATCTTCAAGATTGCGGATTGATCGTGACCACTTTGACCACATCCAGTTCATTAACGTGCCTAAATTTGTCGTTCACACATATAGTGATAGACGAGGCAGCTCAGGCGTTAGAATGCGAGGTTCTTATACCCCTTTCGTTAGCCACTCCTCAGACCCGTCTAATTCTGGCTGGCGATCAGATGCAACTAGCGCCAGAAATTTATAGCGATTTGGCGAACGAACGAGGTCTAGGAGTGACCCTGCTCGAGAGAATCTATGGGACGTATCCGCCAACGCATCCGTGCAGGATACATCTTTGTCAGAATTATCGTGCCCATGGGCACATCATCAAGTACACGTCCGAAATGTTTTACGACGGGGTCGTAAAGCCTGGTAACAATTTATTGATGAAACATCCTGTATTAAAACCGTTGACTTTCTATGCCGTTCAGGGTGAGGAAGTACAGGTACGTTTACGATCGAATGGAGATCGCGTTCGATGCTTTTATTCTGATGCTGAATGAGATTGTTATTTTCTGTTTGCGACAGGGCGTCTATTCAACAGGATTCGTGCACGTGATGGAGGCGCACGAGATAGTGAATCGCGTGTTAGAATTGAAAAACAGCTGGCCGGTGGATTGCTGGGGACCATACGGTGAAGGATCGATCGGAGTTTTATCTTATTACGCGGAACAGGTGCAAAGGATACGAGTGGAACTGCGTAAACGCAAGCTCTTCGACGTGTCCGTCGAGAGGGTATTGAACGTTCAAGGGAAACAGTTCACAGCGGTGTTTATCAGCATCGTTCGAACGAGAAACTCGTGCAGATACTCGGCGGAGAGAAACGTGAAGGACTATGGGTTTCTAACGAATCCGAGGCTGTTAAATACAGCCATAACGCGAGCGAAATGTTTGGTAGCGGTGGTCGGAGATCCGATTGCCCTCTTAACGATCGGTTCCTGTCGAAAGCTTTGGCAAAGGTATCTCGAGATCGCCGAGATCCACGGCACCGACCAACAAACTCTCAAGTATCATCTCAGCCAGATTCCTGAACTCCCATTGGCTACGCCATTGAACCCATTGGCGCAAGAGTTTGTACCAAGGAACAATTTCTCCCTGGTCGAGTACGTGCCAGTACCGATGCTCTATCCGATTTTTCATTACACCGATACGAGACACGGTGGTATCATCGATACCAGTTCCACTCGAAATTGAACTGACTTTTTTCAACTGACGCGTCGATTTTTAGAGAGATCGGGATGTTTCCTACTTTCCACTAACTTTGAATGGATTTAATTGTTGTAACTAGTATTCCGGGCTGATTGATTGCCCTCGAAAGTTGCTGTTCGTCCTAGACTATACTGATTTTTTTTCTCCTATTTTTTTCCTTTTTTATTTTTTAGATCTGTTTTTAGCATTTATTTTTCATTGGAACGAATCGTTGAACGCTGAAAGGGAATCTGTGAATTTTTCTTTCTCGAACATTTATACTCTTCGTTGTACAGGCAGAATTTTGTGATAATCGATCGATTTGTATATACATAAATAACATACGTAAATATATTTTCTTCCACCAAGCAGAAAAAGAGTGTGGTTATTGTCAATCCCAAAGTTATCCCTCCTTTTTCCTTTTGGTTTCCAGCAGTTGTAAAAATTCATTAAGTTTAAGAGGCAGCATTCCACGCTCTACGTTGATATTTATTCTCGGTGTAATAAAGGCGCGCTATATTTTCTCGTTACTATTTGTATATACGAAAAGCCGGAAACAAAAGGAACGCCTCTGCCTGGTGTTTGCGGTTCGCGGTTCGCGGCTCGCGTTCGCAGCTCGCGTTCGCAGCTGGAGGAGTGAAATGGTCACGAGCCACGGACGACCCTCGAATAGCTGAAGAGGCAGGTGAAAAGCGAAAGGTACTCGAGCGATTCTTTTGAAAAAAAACGCGGCCGGCTTCAGTTTCGCGCGTCGAATGAATGTGGCCGACGCGAAGTCGAACAAAGCAGCTCAGTTTGCTTTTATTTTGATAATTAAGGACCACTCTGGCGAGCATTACGAGCGGTCGTCTTCGAAACAAAGGGAACACTTTTCATTCGATCCTCTTTCAACGATCTTCCTCGTATTTCCTTCAAATTAAACACGGAATTTTGCAATAGGGCATAACCACGGTGTTAAAATAATTTGCCTATGATGTTATTTATCACATAAAGTGATAAAGCTAAAGTAAAGAAAGATTCCGAATTAAACTCAATTTCCCGCAACAAGGAGCGTATTGCCGCCAGCATCGACGGCATTCCAGCAATATTCTTGCTGATTTCAGTCACTACATATCCAACAAGACTAGACACGTCTTTGTTTTCAACCTTCCATCACTTATACATATTCCTGCATCCCTTACATCTCTGTATCCCTTACACTCCTGAATCCTCCCTGCATCCCTTACATCTCTGTACCCTTTATATCTCTGTATCCCTTACACTCCTGAATCCTCCCTGCATCCCTTGTATCCTTTCAACCCTTATAATAAATATATTATAAATAAAATACTTATGGCCACTGGTTCGAGTAAAGGTAAGTAAAGGTAAGTAAAGTTTTGTGAAAAATAATTTTTAATTTAAATTTTTGCAAAATTTAGTTCCTTTCTTTGCCGCCAGAGGGCCAAAATCTCTGCATGCTTTAGTTTCTTTTTTCAAAACCAGAGGGCGCTGATTCGACATCGTAATCTTAGTTCACATTTTTGCCGTCAGAGGGCCAAAATTTCTTTATGCTTTAATTCCTTTTTTCAAAACCAGATGGCGCTGATTCGACATCGAAATTTTAGTTCACATTTTCGCCGCCAGAGGGCCAAAATTTCCGCATGCTTTAGTTCCTTTTTTCAAAACCAGATGGCGCTGATTCGACATCGAAATTTTAGTTCACATTTTTGCCGCCAGAGGGCCAAAATTTCGGCCTGCTTTAGTTCCTTTTTTCGAAACCAGATGGCGCTGATTCGACATCGAAATTTTAGTTCACATTTTTGCCGCCAGAGGGCCAAAATTTCGGCCTGCTTTAGTTCCTTTTTTCGAAACCAGATGGCGCTGATTCGACATCGAAAATTTAGTTCAAATTTTTGCCGCTAGAGAGCCGAAATTTTTGCAAAATTTATGTAAGGGATGCGGGGATACAGGGAATGCGGGGACATAAGAAATGCTGGGATGTAAGGGATGCGGGCGGAGAAAGAAATGAAGAGTAATAAATAAATAAGTTAAAAAAGAAATTTAGTAAATTAAATGATAACTCAATTACTCTTTTAAAATGATTTATTTACCAAGGTGTATGAAGTGAATACAAGTTTGTCAAACAATTATAATAATCATTGTTTAGTCTTGTGCGGAACTGCACTAATTTACAAAAAAATAAAAAACAGGAATGAAAGGGACTAAAACTTGTGTCTTCAGTCGTGAGTGCGAGATATGGCAAAAGAGGTACTGGGAAGACAGGCAGGATGACCATACGGGCTGTGCTCTGTACATGCATATGTAAGTACACCTGAAAATGAAGTTTTTTTAAATGTCAGTCTGAGATACGGTAAAGGAGGGACTGTTAAAACAGACATGATTATCATACCGGATGTGCTCTCTGCATGCAGACCTAATCTCATCTGAAGGTGTCTAGGATCTCGAAAATCATGATCCCTCGAAAACAAAGGCATGTCCGGTTTTTTGTATCTGTAGTCACTGCTGGCTTCGATGTTTCGGGACGTCAAGTCGACCAAGCCTGCGAAATTTATAGTAGATACTTCCGTGATCGCGACATAGTAATTTTTCATTTCACCGCTAACCTTACCTACCGATAGAATGTATCTGCACGCATATTTCTGGATTCTGAACACAGTTCAGGATTCCCGCGATCCCTTTGTTCCCATTTGAAAATCTTTCGCAAGTCAACGAATTTTCAGCGTAATTTCTCCACCTTTTGATCAGCTGTTAAATTGAATTACCTACATTGCTACCCTTCACTTAACACTCTCTGGTATTTTAATTAAAAAGCTTTTCAAGCTTTAATTAAACGAACGACGCTTAGGAATTTTCAAGTTAATTCCATAACCATTCAGTTCAGCGGTATTATATTTGCTCGACTAAATAATCTTTTCTTTAAAAATTCCCTAATAAATACAATAATAGTAATACTACGTATTTATATACGATAGTTACGATAGAAGTCGAAAGAGAAACGACGAGATTTCTTCTTTTATAATACAATACTTACATTAGAGAAGTTTTTATTCGAGGAAGGAGGTATTACTACGCGAACAGAAGAGACTCGGAAAGCAATACATAGCTCGGTCGTTTTCAATATCGAAGTAAAACGCAGAAATATTACAAGGTTGCATTAACGTTTTCAACCGTGCATCCTCGTTTCTTATTGTAGGCGGAGAGTTATATCGGCGACATTACGCTGCTTCTCATCCATATTTATATCGGAGAAAACGGGTCGTGATATATTGTACATACACGTATGTATTGTACGGCTGCAGCTGCGCTGGCCTCCTCCTCCTCCTCCTCGTTTCTGTTCCATGAAAGACGCGTTATATACCGACATGTGTTTAAAGACGCTTCAATTTTTCCTAATTGCATCGTTGAGCGATATCGGCCCGTTAATTGAAATCTTTTCGAGGCACCAGATTCGAATAGGTGGCCTGCAAAAAGCGGATAACGCGTTCTGGCCAAGAGTTTCGTCGTGAAAGAAGAGGAGAAAAGAGATGAAAAAAAAAAGTTGGAAGGTAGTTGAAGCGAGGGGGCGAGTTTAAAGATTAATCGTTGGTTAATTAGGGCTGGTTCGAGGCTAGACGAGGATAATTGTATCAGGCAGCCAGGCATTTGCGAGTTAATACCGAGGTGATATTGGGTAAGCTAGATACGGCGATGACAGGCACAGCTTGATATACATCCCGAGCATTGTTACGAACGCAAGACACATACGTGTAACTGCTGTCCATGTACCTACACGTACACCTACATCATCGCTCATAAGTATCTCGACACGTGACAATTTTCCCTTGATAATCCTCTCTACCCTATTTCACGTTAAACGATGCAAATTACTGTACGCAAGGAATTTTTGCTTCTTTTTGAAAAAAGTTAGTTAAACCTATCGAAACTTGTTCTATTTCAAAGAATAAGGAAACGTCTTGATACTTATGAACAATAGTGTAGATAATATACATGCTTGGTGCAGAGATTACACGTACTACGTAGCTATGTATACGCGACACACGGCCCGCGTCTCTCGGTTCCACTTGCTTCGAGATATTGTCTCGCACTGTGTCAGCATGTTGTTACCCGCACCGTGGCCCCGATAAAATTATGTTGGCGGCGAGTTATGGTAACAGAGACACCAAGGATGATATCTAGCTACCTCGAAGAAAATTTTTTTATCATTTGTTCGCGTTGTAACGACGATATTTTAGTTGAGAAGAAATTACTTCCATTCGAAGGGTTACTTTACTTTGAAACGTTTACAGAAAACGCTTTTTATTCGCGTTTTCCAATGTAGATTGCTGGAAAGGGACAAAACGATATTTACCTAGTGAACGTATAAAATCGAAGCGATTACAAGGGGGACTAATGTAAAAGGGTAATTTTAAATTGCAAATTACACGGAAGACCGTTCTTGTTATCTTGGAATCGTTAAGGGAATACCAAATTGCTCGTCGATTTGTTCGATCAACCATATCAACGGAGGAATTGCGATGTAAAGATATCTCGGGTGGACGCGTTCATCCATTAGCAATTGAAAATCGAGCAAGAAATAAAGCGTGAATGGATCTCTGCTTTCATATTCATCGTTTCCCCTTTCCTCGTTCAATCGCCATTAACTCGTTAATCACGCGAAAGACGAGTTATCGCGTCGTTTAAACGCAATCCTTTCTCTGATCGATGCGATCAAGCAAACTCGTCGTCAAAGTTTTATCATTTTCTTTTCATTTTTAACCCTTTCACCTATAGTCAGTGATAAAAGAATAAATAAAAAACCTATCCAACATATCGCACAGTCTACTTGCAGTGTAGTAACAATAAAGGGAATGCTTTGAAAAAATGAATGAATTTCGCATCAATCAATCAATCAATCAATTCAGCCAGGTTCAATCGATTCTCATCAATCGCAATTGTGGAACAAAACGATACAAGTTTGTTTCGAGCTTTGTTCTTGGTGTCGTTCGTGATGTTCGACACTGACGGTTGCCAGCGAGATTCGTTAGGCTGCGAGTTTAATCGAACGCGTGTTAAAGCACGCTACAAGCCTCGGAAAATTTCAACGGCCTGCCAGGGGATTGACTTCGCGTATCGTGTCGAGAATAATTTGCAATCGATCTCTTCGAACGGCGAACGGCAAACGGCAAACGGCAAACGGCAAACGGTGAGCTGTGTTCGTCAAATTTTTCCCGCCACCGAAATTCCAATTAAACACGGTCGGACGGTTCCGGTCTCCGGGGATGGCTCGTCCCACCCTCGAAAATTCCCAGAATGCATAACTGCGATATGTCGATTTCGTTTCGATCATATCGAACGAAATACTCTCCATCCTTCCCACGAAATTCTTTTCAACAAACGCGACACCAATTTTTTCTGCTTTTTTCATGCACCATTTAATCGAGACTAATTTACTATACATCACGAGTTCTCAGAACATTTCATCCCTTTTACACACGAAACTTCCACGATGCGATGGTGTGAATCAATTCGCTACCATTTTCCGAGTTTCGAATTTCGTTTGTTTTTTTAGTCGCCGTTTCGTAAACATTGCAGTTTACTTTTTCAAGGTTTGCTTCTTCGATAAATTGCAATATTTACGAAACATCTGCTACGCAAATAGAACGCGATCGAAACTGAAAAATGTCGAGTATTATTTGTATGAATTTCAAAAGTATTTTTTGTCCGAAGTCAGAGTAGAAGAAATTTTTTTCTGACGCATAAAGTTATTACCGATGTATCTTCAATTACACAAAGTGGTGTTTCTGTTTCGAGCGTGCTCGGTAATTCAACGTCCATATCGAAATGAAATTAAAACAGGGAACGTATCGTCGACTAGTTTGTAAACGATTCTGAAAAACACACTCGGTTGCAATTTTGCGAGCGCGTAACAATTCAATTAAATCGAGGCAGGCGTAGAAGGCCTCCCTCTACCCTATCCTGTTGGAATATCCTCTTGGAATATGAAAACTGTCGCGTCGCGTCGCGTCGCGTCGCGTCGCGTCGCGTCGCGTCGCGTTGCTCAAAATTTGTCGAGTCCGCTTGGTTTCGGTGCTGCGGATAAATACGCTCGATTTCGTCGCGTTCCGATTCGATCATCGGCCAATCAAATTAAACGAAACTCGGCCTGTTTTAATTCCACCTGGCAACTCGTCCGTAATTCGGTAAAGTAATTAACGGCAGAGCCACGATCGTTCTTTATTTATTAACAGTTTGACGGCCAGTGTCAGGTATCCGTGATTTTCGAACCATTATTCTTCGCTCTGCTTTTATCTACTATATCGAATACCAATTACAATTTCGAAATTAATCATTTTCAGACAATTAATGGCTCTCGTAATTTTATACTTTTTTTTTTACATCGAAAACGTTCCATTTTTTCAACATTTTTCCATTACATCTGAAATTTGATCGAGTTTCGAATCAATCGACGATTCAAACGATTTTTATTTCATTTCAATCGCTTATATTGAAAACGTTCGACCGTGACACGATGTAGTGCCCTCAAAATAGACTGGAATGACCTTTCAGAAACAATCTGCACATTTTCAATCGTGCATTGAAGAGAAGAAAAAAAGAGAAAAGAAAAAAGAATAAAAATGCGAACTCGTTTTGAGGGAGAGATCACGATATCGTGGACGAAAGTCGAGACAAATAATGAAGCGATTATCAACTGGGTGCTTCGTTCGTTGCTTTAATTGATATCGTTTACGCACGCGAGCTGAGAAACGAAGCAATTAATACTTGCTACGAGTCCGTAACAACAGTCTCGTTCGTTTGTTCGTTCGCAGAAGGGGTTAATGCGAAACGAGTCGTTCCAACGGGAAGCACTCGAATCCGATTCTTCGAATCTTCGTTTCAACGGTATCCTTATCAAAGGAGGAATCAACTTTTTATACGGAATCTCTATTTAAAACAAAAGAGCAATTAAACGCGGCACAATTTCCACGCGAGTCTCCTACCGATTCCTCTCTATTCACCAACCTTCCAACCACTCCATTCTATAATTATTGACTATTCAAGCTTTCAATGACGATAAACGTTATTCGATAAAAGGAATTTTTAATCTTTTTCTCACTGTTTGAATATTGCGAAGAACTAGTATGTGTACGATCACGTTCTTCGAAGTTTTGCTGCTGCTGCTGCTGCTGCTGCTGCTTCACGTGTAACAGATTCCTTGGAAACTAGCAAGCAAAGACGCGTCCTCCGTTTAATATCCAGCAAACCATCCGAGTTCCGATCGGAATTTCCTGTCCGAAACTTTCACGCGTGACTTCGCGAAACGATCGGAAGCATTTCGATTCTCTTCGCTAATACCAACCTAACCGCCCTCGTATCGGATAACTTATCTTTTGATCCTCCAACACCACGAAATTTTACTCCATTCAAACGATATATCTACCTAGACGACCTACTCTTACTCTTATTATTACGATTTCCTAGATCCTTTAAGAAAAGGAGGAATTCGCACAATTCTTTCTCAAAGAGATAGAGATTTTTTTCAAGAAATTTTCTTCGAGGTTAAAACTTCAATTACTATGTGCGACTAGCCAGGTTAGAGAGTGTAGGAAAAATAACAAAACTGCTGAATAACCAGTGATCGTATGCTCCAGATTCTATTGTATCATTTTAAAATATCTTTCGCTTCGATCGACGACACGTTTTGCCTGCGTTGAATGCAATTGACAGCAACGATCGGCATTTGAAGGAAATTTTGGCAAACGTTACTCGTATAGAATGCTTGGCACGTCGTCGCTTCAACTGCGATTACAGTGTCAAATACAGCTGCATATACATATATTCTCTTATTTTTCAAATGTTAATACACGCGATTCAAAGAAAGAAAGTTGAATCAAGATCGATGAAGAGCAGCAACGAAGAGAAATAATGGAACAGCAAGAAGATAGCGTAATTCTTTTTCTCGCGAAAGCAATTACAGCGTTGCTGGATTAAAAATAGACAGGACAGCTCGAGTGCCGGAAATATTGCACCTGCAGCAACTAGATCGTTGCAGATCCCACTTTCTACGAGAATTTCAAGATAGAGAACTGCGGTCCAGCCACGTTCTTAACGTTTTTCGGGGTCCTCTTATTTCCCCGTTGCCCTGAAAATGGGCAAGGCATCGGTATCGAGTCGGGCAACGCGCCAAATCACACCCCGGGGAAGATAAAAAGCGGCAGTAAAACGTAAAGAAGGAAATAGGAGAGGAGAAGGGTGGTAAAAGAGAGGTTGGCCGAACCGGAGAAAGAAGAAACCGTCAAGGAAATCTTTTTTATATTTTCCCTCGCACTTTTGTCTGGTAACCCCACGAAAAAAATATCCACTGCAACGTGCCGCGAATCCCGGATTTCGGATTATCATGCGATTCAAAATTGAACGGGCAAATTTCTCTTTCTCCCGCACGAGCCTCAATACGAATGTTTAATATACAATATAATTTATATTTCTGTAAAATATCAAATGTTGAACTTTAGTCTTTTTCCTCGTTATTAATTTAAAAATAAAAAAAAATATAGAGACCGTTTCTACGGCAATTTGATAAATCAGGGTAGTTTTACTGGACAACGATAGAGCTTCGCAATAAACGATTTGATGGCGTGAAATGATGATACATATCGGGCTATTTCTAATTGTAAGTAAGAGTATCATCGAACAGTTCGGAATAACCGATGATCTGGAGCCCTGGCTGAATCCCGTTTCGAGTTTCCGCTGTATAATTGCCCGTTTCGAATATCCATGAAAATTTACGGATACGCATTTAGCGTTTAATGCAGATCTCGATCTCGATCTCGATCTCGATCGGGTTTAATAACCCGCCGTAAAATCTTGTTATATAATAGATATTCACAGTGACGATCGGCATAAAATAAACTTTCTGTGATTCGGGAGGAAAAGAATCGAAGAATTGATTTATAGTAATTTCAATGAATTTAATCTGCAAACGAACGACAGAGAAACGGGACAAGACTCGGAAAGCGAAAAGGCGAGAAAACGTGGAGGCACGCGGCTTTTTTGAAAGCACGAAAATCAGAGGCGAGCAAAGTTTCAATTTCGTCGACTGGCGGGATTAAAACGACCGAACGTCGGATTGGTGGCGTTCCATTAACTTTTTGGAGTTCGTAAACACAAAAATCTTGCGTTTTCGCGACGAATCTGTTTTCATTTTCTTCTTCTGCTGTTCATTCACCGCGACATAGACGGAGATTCTCCTGCTCGTTAATTAGTTCTGACCGTTCAAAGCTCATATTTCTCGGCAGGAAACCGGGATACCGCTCTCAAACGACCCTCCGTCCACGGATCGTGAAATTTATTGAAAAATACGAGCTCGAGGAAAACGAGAAGCCATTCGGTTTTGAGCAAACATCATAAAAGTTTTTGATCAAATACTATCCTCGTTTTGTATAGAAACATTGAATTTTTCTATTACCCTTAATATACTACATTTAACCGTCTGGTATTTCAGTGTTCGTTCGTGATACCAATAAAGATAGACGTGGAACGAGGAAATAAGCCATTTGGTATATTTAGTAACTGGGACAAGTAGCGAAAGAAACGAGAGAGAAGTTAATCAGAATGATAGAACTCACTTTCTAAGAGTAGCCAGACGTTCTTCCTGAGCCTTGATATACCCGTTCAGCGTGTCGATGAGAACCGCTTCCGTTTCCAGAAGCTCCTCCATATCCGCCAACGCGGTGTACAGCTCGGCAAAGCAGCCATTGAACGTCGTCGTCGTCGAGATCAGAATCACGACGACTGTCAACATCCTGCTGCTTCTCATTTTCCACGATTTTCTGCAACCAACAAAGACGTTGTTACTCCTGAAACACTTGAATTACTTTTCTTTTTCTTTTTCTTTTCCTTTTTCTTTTCACCTGAGTTCGTGCTTCGATCGCTGATGAATACGAGGATCAAATGAAGATAAATGACTATTAATTAATCACGCGCGGGGAAAAAGAAAGATGTTACCGGATTGATTGGAACGTTCGTATTTCAGTGCTTAACGCCCCCTCAATGAACTATTAGGTAACTCGCAGAATTTCCAGTCTCGCATCGCCGCTTCTTGGATAGATTTATCGATAGATCTTTTTCTAGTAACGTGGAACACTTAACGTAACGTAACGTAACGGGTCACGGGCCACGGGCCACGGGCCACGGGCCAAGGTAAAACTCGAGCTCACAATTTAATCGCGAGTCGATCGAGTCTGACTCGATTATCGCAATTCATCAGGGGCCTCTCTGATGTTTCCAACGATCGAACGTTCATCTTCTTGTTTCGATAAAAGTTCCGTGATTGCATTAGCATTCCAAGTTTCAAAGAAGCCATCCGTCTTTTAAGACGCTTTCGCCAAACTTTCTCGATGTTTGCCGGTTAACCCCTTTTGCTATTTCCTTTTATTTTAGTTAGTTTATTTTATAATTATTTTCGTTAATTTTCAGTCGAGTAGAGGAACAAACGTCTCGGTCGAACGAGCTTCGCTCGAATCAAACGGACGATACAAACAGGACAGGGCACACGACGACCTTTGATAAAGTTTGCTCACGATCGAAATTAATATCGTCATATTCCACGCGAATTGTAGAACCATTTTGTGCCGCTACCACGACAAACATAGTTTCCATTCTGAAATCATACCTCGATGATTTTCATCAACCCTTATCGTGATTGACCTTTTGCGGCAGTGTAAAATTATTGGTAATTCAAGGTCTACGGTGTACGGGCCAACAAGTTAAAATTTTTCTTCTCTTTTCATAATTTTATTATCAAGTATATCGTCGTTTCTCGTGTCTGTAAATAACGGTGTAATATGCAAAGGATTCCGTAACCCTTGAAATTCACCGGGAACGTCGCAACCTAAAATTCCTTTCACGGCAATTCACAACTCCCCGCCACGTTCCACGCGTTCCTCCAAGAAAATGCCGAGGATAAAAACGATGTACTCGAGATACTACTTCCTTAATCTCTTTGATTTATAACATCGAGTCACACTCGTGGTATTTAGAGAAACATCTTTAATCATCCCGATTACCGAATTTAACCCGTAACTTTGGAAGCGAATCGAACGCGACCCCTTGTAAATCGTGGAAAGTTTGTTTGGTAGCTGCTGAACATCCAACACTGATCGATCGGTTCTCCTTTTAGGTAGTTTCGAGCATTCGTTTCGGTCGCAAATTAAAAAAAAAAAAAATTCTGTAATCGAGTTGTTCGTTCGGCTCGCAGACGGTGGAGAGGCCCCACGTTTACGGTACGTCGTCGATGCATTTCCGGCGAGAGTTTACGTCCCTGCGCTCAAACTTTTTCAAACGAAGGATTAAAGTTGGGGAGCTGGGCGACTTACACCTGCCCGCCCGTACGACCATTTATTTCGTCACGTCTCTTCGCTTCCAAGCCCCTTCCATGAACCTCTACTTTCTCACCCCCTTCGCTCGACTGCGCGCTCTTTCGACCTCTTTGTTCCCGTTTCACGGCCACTCGAAAGTTGAAAAGCGGTAGCTCGAGCACTCGAAAGCACCATCTTCGTGGATGAAAAAATATACGAGAATCAAATTATGTATAAACGTTGATCGAAGCGGTACGAGTTTGAAAGAAATTTTGTCAATTTTGTCAATGTTCAATATCGTTTAGACGTCTGTAATAGATTACCTCCATTACCTTGAAAAAGAAAAAAAAAAAAAACAACTTCTCGTTTGCAACGGAAGTTTACGTCAACTTCGAACGATTCCGTCTCTAACAAGAAAACAAAACTGAGAAAAAGGGAAAGGAGGAAACAGAAGTTGTAGAAAAAATCACGGTTTTTCCCCACCAATTGTTCACTCTGAAAGGAAAAGCAGTTGGCGGGTGGAAGAGGAAGCGAGAGACCCTTTAACGTTTTACGAACTTTCGGAAACGGCTCTTCTTCGGTTTCAATGGTCCTTCTTTAAGCTTTTTCAACGAGTGGGGCCGGAGGGGCTGAGAGAGAAGGAACGATTCGCGGGATGAAAGGGTCGCTCGCGGAAATACGTTTTCGCGAGAATTCGAGGGCGGATCGGTTCCGGTTGTCGGTCCAACCAACGTAAATCTAATCATTTCTACGTAATTCACCGTGGCCGACCACACTTTGACCAACACTCGTTCCACTTATCCTGCTATCCGTACATACACGCTTCGCTCGAAACCAACTCTAATAACGTTTTCAAACTGTTGTCGAAACGAGGTTACCGGCAGTATCATACTTTCCAGCAGGGCCTCTCAAACTTTTATCATTCTCCGTTACCGATTCGCAAAGAAAATTAATTTTTATTTCACAAGAACTGCATCATTTGTTTAGAGAATTGCAAGATTTCATTCAGAGACGCATTCGGTGTATTGGATTCTATTTAACGCGTTGTATCGGCGACTAATTTGCTTCGATGGTGGCACGATTAGTCGCGGCAAGTTGAATTTCACGTATCGGGCAGCAATTTCGGGAAATTCGCCGACGAAATTCACAGAAATTCGCGCGGGACGAGCGGAACTAATGGTTCCAGTAATACAGTCACAGAAACTCGTGAGCATAAATTAACGTTTACCGCGTACGGCGCTAAGTCTACCCTGGATCGGAACACCTTGTATAGGTTATTAGAATAAAATTACAATAGCGTATCAGAGCGGTTGCAGCACCTTAACAAGTTCTCAAGAAATTGAAAGGGTTGGAGGTCGCGACGCAGAGAGAGGAAAAAAGGGAGCGAAAGGCGATTCCCGGAAATCTCGTTGAAAGGACGGCGTTAATTAAGCGCCACCCCGGAAGAATGGAACTCGAGGAAAAGGAAAAAGAGAAAGAGAAAGCACGAGACCACGAGTCGGGTATGAAGGTGTAAAAGAGACGAAGGAGCAAGGTAAAAAAAGAGCAGCGAGTCTCCGCCTTTGCTTCAACGACGACGGCCACTTGAATTTCTTTTTTCTCTCTTCGACATGTCGGAACATCGCATCGTGGTGAATCGGTCGGAATGTAGCACGATTGTTCTACTATTCCCTGGACTCTCGCTTTTCTCTCCGCCCCGCCCCGCCCCTCCCCTCTTGTTTTCACCTTAATTGAAATGAAGTGGAACGGTCGTCGTTGCTTCTCCTTTCTTTTCCAACGAAATTTTCTATGAAATTCCATCGAGCGTCGCGCAACTGATCGATACCTTTCACTTAACAGGTCTGGACGCGAGAAGATGGTCTGACCACAACGCGTGAATACTACTTGACTTGTTGAAAGAAAGGTAACGAATACGCGACATCGGTTCTTCCGACAGAACAATTTACGTGCAATTTCAATCACTTCTCTATTAACTAATTTTAGCTCACTATTCTCATTTGGGAATATTAAATTTGGAATGTCATAATGAACAATCAACTATACTCGTACCTATTATCCATGGTATGCAAGATTTATTACACTTTGTGCTTTGTACAGCGCTTCAAAATTCTATGCTAATATCATTTTCTTCCCTACACTTCTATATGTATATTCGAAGGGCTCAATTTTCAATATTGACTGTAAAATACGGAAGAAAATTGAAAGGAACCTTCAAATCTTGAGGATACCAACTCGCGCGAATGGTGTTGTTGAATTTTTCCAACTTCGAGTTTCGATTTCGCAAACCGATTTGATTCTCCGCAAACGAAACACCTGCAAAATTCATCTTTCCCGTTGAATAGCACTGGAAAAATCACTGGCTCGATCGTAAACGAACGAACGAACGCGCAAATAAAATATTGAATAGAAAATTTCGAGCAACAAATCGCCGTCAGTCGTCTCTCAAAAGGAACAACTTGCTGAAAAATTGTGAACGAGCATTGTTTCGTTTCTGCCGATGGAAACGCGAAACAACGAACAAAAGAAGGAGAAAATAGAGGCACCCTCGGTGAATACATACAAACTTTCCTTCATTTCCTTCCCGAGTTACTTACAATTAGATAATTTACTCAACCTTTTTATCGTGGAGATTCTTGCACACGTAGCCATGGTCACGTTCAATTTCCCTGGAAGGTGGCTTGAAACGCTTCGATTACGAAAAGGCCGGAAGGTAATTTGCGGTCACGCGTAATTAGCGTCGTTACGAGGTGTGCTAGGGAGGGTAAAAATGGATGAAAGGGCTCCAGTGGTGGTTGGCAGACGTTAAAAGGCGACATTGATGTTTCGAAACTCCCTCCTCTCTAATTTTCATCCTCTCGGCGAACTTTACGGACTTGGGAGACGCTCGATTTCGTCTCACCGAACGCTTTGGGAAACTTTCCTAGACTACTGGAAACACGATTTCGATCACGTATATTTCATACCAGCGCCGTTATACAAAACTGAGCCGAAATTTAATGTCTTTGAACGTTTTCGAGTCGAGTACACGGATGATGAGAACTTCACTCGAGGGACATCGTGAAAATACAGCTGTTCGAAGGGTCGACAGTCGAGAGCGATAATAGAAAAGATAGGAATGTCAGCAATAGGGGAACCGGTGTCAGATCGCGCAAAAAGATGCCTTTAAAAGCGGGCGTGAGCTTCAAAATGGTAATTTCACGGTTTCACGAGCATTCTGCCCGCGGCCAATTTAATTCGCGACGGATGATCTTGCCTTTCTTCCTTCTTCCTTCTTCCTTCATCCTTTTCTCGTGTCATCCAATTCCGCTTGTTCGAACTCGTTAACCTCCACTTTTCAAACCTTAATTTTTTTCAAACTTTTCCCCCCTCCTTTCCATTTTCTTTCGACACGCGATTGCCTTTCGAATTTCATCGATTCCCGGTGTGCGATCTACAAATCTAAGAAATTACCGTCGAAAATTTAACTCGAGAAA